AAGACGACTGCGGTTTTAAGCTCGGCTTTTGGAGGTTCACCCGGACTGRAAACCGAGCTTTTGCCTCAGCCCTTGGCTGGCACGAGGCATCGGCGCTCGTGCAGGGCGCATGTGCAGCGTGGCAGCTTCAAAGGACTCCTCGTCCGCAGCGTTATAGCCCAGAGCAGCGCTGAGCGAAGCAAGGAGCAAGCCCCAGCGAGCCGCTCCGCTCTCCTATCTCCRAAATGCATCTCACGCTGTTCTTGTTCACGAAGCTGAAATTAATCCATTTGAACGAGGATCTCGCTGCGCCTCTCGTCATTTCCCTAAGCAAGAGTCTTTTGCAAATAATCATCAACAAAAGAAACCYTTTAAGTATTGGCTGGGTCTAGAACAGACTTTTTGACTGCCTAGCAGCATTCCTTTGCCAAACAAAGGGGTTTTGTCCTCCAAAATTAGACCTTTTTTGGTTGAGATAATATTTTGCATATTTCTCTGAGGCATTTCACATGTTTAACATCTACTTATTAACTTCTGCTTGCATTTTCCTGGGAGCTACTCAAGTAAGCAGAATTCCCATACAGATGAAGTAACCAAGTTTCAAAGAGCTGAAGACCCAAATTTTCCAAAGCACGAAAGCTTTGAGCAGTGTCAGCTTAAGGCAAAGCCCAAGCAGCAGCCTCTTTACATAAACCCCACAGGAGCTGCAAATGCCAAGTACTCCCCCTGTGAACAAACCTGCAAGAAAGAATTGGTGCCTCGGAATTGCTTTTTCAACTGGAAGTACAGGGCCAGCAAATGTTTGAGCCCAGCAAAGGCAGAAGGGAGGTTATTCCAGCATGTTTTAGGTCTCTTGTGATGTTCCAGATCACTCTGGCCCTTTTCCTAAATAACAGTATAATTAGACCTGTTGGGATCTTTCCGTGCRTTCTGTCAGCTTATAAAATAACGCAGGGAGTGCTTTGTTTACAAAGCAGCATTTTGAAGACAATTATATTGGAAGCGTGGCAGTACTGGAGTTGTAGGCATTCCCCATGCTTTTAGACACAGGAGATTGCTCTGAAAACATCTTCTTTCTTCTGAAAACATTTTCTTTCTTTCCGCACGGTGATGGCATTTCAAGTCTGTCTTCATGCTACAAATTCCTGTATGCACTTATAAATAATGTGATTTTGTGATCAATCCGCCAGGCTCCTTACTCTCATCCTAACCAGGGATGTCTCTGGCCAAGTGTTTCCATCATTCTGCCCTTCMCATCGCTTTGCTCTCTCGTGTTGGCTAGAGAAGCTGAATGTGCAATAACTGGAACCCCTTTCTGAACTCACACCATCAAGAAACATCAAAGATGTYCAGCCCCCTCCATCATCAGACCCCAACTATTATCTTGAGCCAGCCTAGAGGAGACTGCTAAACCATATCTATATCATGACCTATTAATGAGCTCCATTCAGGAACTTCCACATATTTTACAAGAGGAATTTGTTTAAGGTATGCTTTTATCTAGGAGAATTTGTAAAGCCTAAAGAGATGACATTAGATATTTCTAAAAGCTCCCTGGTTTTATATGAACACTTGTGTTAAGATATGGTAATCTGTGAACTTATTCAGATTTGTAGCTCAGCATAAAGCTGCCTGGTTTTTGGACAGCCCTTCTGATTTACCATCTTGTGGTGAAATCACTGCAGGAGTTTGGAAAAKGTCCAATTCTATTTGTTTAAAGTCCTGAGCATGGGGCTTTGGCATTCCTGCYGTATCCAGCAGTCATTTGCTTTCAATTATCATTCTGTTCAACCACATAAGTAATGAATGTGGCTACCACATCCAGCTTGCAGGCTATGTAAATGCTTGAGCTGGGTGGAACTCTCTCCTATATAGAGGCTTAACTATAAATTTAACTCAGAATGTGAATCCTCTTAACTTATTTTAAGCGAGTCTTTATAAGTATAAAATAAAAATAAATAAAAAGGAAACGAAACAAGCCCTAAATGAAAGATTCCACACAATACACCTGATTCACTTCAGAAGCAATTTCCTGGCCTCCCCAACCTCGTGGTCTAACTGTAGAAACCTTATAAAAACAAGTTGATTTAACATTTCTATTTATTCATGGTGTTCAGTTTCCAGAGGAGTCTGTGACTTGTAGTTTTAAACTCAATTTAGCATTTAAACTCATTTTCAGCTGGGTCCCAGTGGAGCAGCAATTAGAAAAGGAAAGGAGTTCAAAGAAGAAGGGTTATAACCTTTCAGTGGCATGTTTGCCTGGGCTTAAAAAACGCCTCTCTGTTACTATTCTTCCTCCATTCAGCAAACACTAAATCACACAACTGGGTTAAAAACCTGTTGGTACAGAGAACTTCATGGTTAGATACAAATCAAAACCCAGAAATCCCTCACGGCTACTAATGCAGCAAATCATTTTTGGGGGTACCATTATTTGTATTATGATGGAAGTCTAAAATCAGCAGGCCTGACTTGTCTTCAGAAAAAAGACAAAGAAGTCTCACATTAAATCTGAACAAGATGAATCAACCAAAAAAATGCAAAGAAAATCTTCTCTGCTGCACATTCAAGAGATAAGCCTACCCATCTTCTGCAGTTGACAGTTTCAGTTGAGACTGGTCTCCTAATAGCCCAAACACTACATGTCCTTGCATAAATTTGGGGAGCCAAACAGGCCATGCAGACAAAGGATGAAGGAGAAACCGTCTTGAAGTAACTTTCCAGAAGTCAAAATTGGCTGAAGTGTGAGGAGAGCAGTAGCCTGCAACTCAGGACCTCTGGCCTCATCTATTAAACCAGAGAAATGAGGTTTGTATGTATYTTGGCATACTCTGAGTTAGCTTGTGCTCCTCTAGCAATCGCACTCTCTGTAGCTAGCAGTACTCTTATGAAGCACATTCCAATGTCATAAATTCAGCCTCAAGATCCAGCCTTTGACAAGACCTGGCTACCAAAATCTTATCTGGAAGCACCGCACGTATACCAACAGATAACTCTTGGCTTGTTTGCTTTTCCTCTTCCCCAGTTCCTGTCAACATACAACATGGAAATCTCCTCAGGGATCCACACTGTGAGTTTTTATGGATTTCAGTGCACACACATCTGATGATAGGCCCTGCCTGTCAAAACCTGTGCGACTGTGGGCTAAATGCAGACAAGATGAGTCAGGATCCCTCCAAGGTGGCACAACTCACAGACTGGCGGTACTGTTATCATTCCCATGTGATCCACTCATATCAAAATGGMTCATACCATTCCTGAGAGAATAGGCTCTGTGAATGTAAATGAGAATTTCAGTATTCTCAGATTATCTGTAGTCTTTCAGTTTGTTTATTTAACCTGACTCAAGAAAGAGGCTTCTTATGAAAGATACAGTCCTCTTAATTTGAGCACTGTGTTTCAGAGGCAAGCTGTTCAATAGTACTAGATGTCACACAAGWCAGGTTGGGAAACAGTGACCAGTGCGTCCCAAAATAACTGCTAATCTTGCCAWAAGTTTTATTTCTATAAAGCTAGTTGACAATAAATCTACCCATTCAGACTCTAAAAATTGGAAAAATTGGAATTGGAAATTGGAAAATTGGAAGTTTTTTACTATATCATTTATCCATAATAARTTAACTAGATTTAACCAGATAGATCCTGAAAAAAAAATCAGTCAGCTGGTTGAACTGAATCAAGAGTTTTGTCTTCATTTAATTTGGTTGGGAATCAACTCTGTCTGATAGAGTAGGTGTAATATATACCAGGTGTCAGATAATTTGTCACTAAATATTTTTTTAAGGAAGAGATTTAGGTAAGAATCCTCACTCACAAATTTGCAAATACAAACTAGGTATGTTTGTCTGAATTAATTAAAGGAGAAATTAATACTGCCGTATCCACCATTTTGCCAAGGAACACGCAGTGGCTGCTAAAGCTCACTATTTTGAGAAGACACATGTTTAAATATGTCTTGAAGTCACTTGAAGTGACACATTAGAATGACAGAAATGACAGCAGAGTTTGTATAGGGACATGAATGATCTACCTTAAAAGTGATTTAAGGTAGATCAGACGAGGTTCTGAACTATTAGAATTTGATGTTCCCAGGAGGCAGACACAACATGGGGCAGACAGAATGATTCTGAATGAGATGATTAAAAATGGTGATAACCCATTAGTTGGAAGTGATCTTATAGCAGTATCTAGCTGGAATATATTGATAACAACTGCAGTCTGCAATGTGGTTCCARTTGCTACATTCCTTTGAAATGTCACCAGAAAAGATGTATAGAGAGACCTCCTGCTAAGGGCCATCAGTGTCTACTCTTCTTGTTTGATTTTTATTTAACTTACTAGGGGTCGATCAGTTCCCAGTGAAGCTAAGGACACTCTGAGGCCCTTTGAAAAATGAAGTATCAAATAGAATTAAAGTTCCATTCAAAATTCACCTGTTTTTCATTTCATTAATGTATGTGTCTGCTCCCAGATSCATGACCTGCACAGGCCATCAATTTTTTTTACCCTTCATACTGTCCCTTTCAAGTCTCTACCTTCCAATTTCCTCTTTCCCTCTTCAGGTTATGGATCACCCAACTTCCATATGTTGATACAATTCGATTTCCTTTCTCCCTGGGACTCCCGCAGCTGTTTCTCTTGCCCTTTCCCAGTCTTGTGTCATTTTTTTTCTCTCTTCTCTGCTACTAATCTGTAGTCTTAATCCCATCCAACAGCAACTTCCACCTCTTCATTCATGTCTTTGATTCCATCTTCGGTCTCCAAGTGGCCTTTTGGACCTGAGTTCATTAGGCCAGTGATCAAACATTTGATGCAATCTCAAAAACCACAGAGTAAGTACTATTCCCATGAAATATGCTCAGTGATTTTGTCTAATTGACTGCATCATCTGCAAGGCATCRATCTCTTTCTTACTTTAAAACCACATCTACTTTTTAGATTACACTAGTATACTGTTTTAGAAGAGCTGAATAATGTACTTACAGTATCTTAAAATGTCTGCATACACAACACACACATACCTTGGCATTCTGAAGAGGAGGCTGGTAACTAGAAGGCCGATAGTACCTTCTCTGAGTAGCATCCGTGTGGATGTCTCCGAGAAATAGCTCCTCCACAAGGTGATCTAAATTGTGATGCAGATACTGTTTTTCTACGCGGATCAGCTGCAGTTCGTGCATGGCAAAATTCAGAGCCTTGGTGCATTCACAACCGTTCTCTTCTCTCAGCAAATCATAGCTCACATCCTGTTCCCAAGGACTATCTTCTGGTATAAATCCAGGACATGTCTGGTTCACCAGCTCACTTATTTTTTTGGTTACTGCTTCATTGTGGCATATGATTTGTATGCTGCGTAGCTGATAATCAGCTTCAGTGCCCCCTCGGATGATCCAGGATGCTTGTCGGAGACGAATTTTGCCACGGATAACTAAGGTATAGATGGGATTTGTGCAGTGATTGCCACCATAATAAAACTGGTAGGCCTTAAATGTATTATTGTGGTAGAATCTGTAAGATCTTGTGATGAACTCTGGGCCTGCTCTAACTTCACAGCTGTGGGAAGACAAAATGAAGGAACCAAKTGTTAACAAGGTGGAGCATCACGAGCACTACAGGTAACAAGACCGAGCAACACTGCATAGGTCTAGCGAGATACTTGGGTGTCCATGTCCTTTAGACATGAATGGCATAGTATAGAAGGAACTAGGCATATATCACCTGCCAATTTTCCAGCAATTCCCTTTGCTGGCCGATTTCCTTTGCCGTTATGCAATTCTTAACATATTGCTTCATGGTAATCATATCTACCTGAGAGCCTTGTTTTTGCAGATTTTATACAATTTCACTCATATCCTCAAAGTTGTTTTTCCTTTTTTTTTTTTGCTCCTACAGACAATCATGTGACTCAATACTTCTTTGAAAAAAAAAACAAAAAGACAGCAGCTCATTAAACATATATATTCTYCCCTTTTGCGTGGTGGATTAGCAAAAGGACTGATCGGAGAGCAAAATGCCAAATGTCCCCAAGACACTGTAAATAACTGGCTTCTCCAGCTGCTGTGAAAGCTTTTGGTGGCACACTGCCAGCTCTGGTCTGCAGAGGTCCACAAGGATCTCACCCTCAGCTTTTCCACATACAGAGTCAGCTGGGATGACAGTTAATGCAGACTTCCTACCTAGCTTGATTTGGACCTAACAACATTGATTTTGTTAATCAAGAGATATTTTTCCCCCTCTCTGAGGGGGCAAATGGCAACTAAATTYCACTTTCCATAAAAAGTCAAACTTCCTTTTCTATCTTCAAATTTCTCCCTCTTTGTCATCCATGGGGCTTAACATAAATACACTCAGCTTTCTGTTAAATAACCATACATTTCCCTAAGAGCCACTTCAAATAAATGGATGAATATTGCTTTTCGAGAAACAGAAAACAAAACAGGTCTCTCTGAATTAAAGGTTTTTATGTATGGAGAGAAACAGAACTGGTCAAATAGCACTTTTAGGTTTCTTTTGCTAATAAAACTTGTGCTAGACATGATCTGAAAGCAAGGATCCATCCAAATGGCTCCAATGAACATAGTTAAATACAAACTAATGGAGGAACAAGCATTCATTTTGGCAACCTGATGGTCTCTTTCCTATTCCAAAAGAGATCTGAATGTATTTCACAACATGCTCTTTAAAATTCAGGCTACCAATTGATCTATCAAGGAAGTTTTACAGCATGCAATTCTGACATCTATAAAACAGCTCCTTCTTTCTTATATATGTAAACATACTGTACATAAAGCACCTGGGATTTGGAGATTCACCATATTAAAAATATATATCTATATTTTCCTGATAGAACCCCTGCTTAGAGTGGGGTTATTCTTAATTCCCTCCCTGCCACCTCACTCGCTTCTCTTCCATACATTTTTCCGGCATCTTATTTTAGCTTTYCTTACCCAGTGGAGACCCAGTGTCCCTCAATATTGGGAGGCATCTGCACGGTGATGCGGGCTCCATTGTGGAGATGTTTCAGCATATGGTGACACTGTGACTCCTTGAAGGCCCTCCAGGCACTCTTCTCCAAGGACTGAGGGTGTGACCTGCTGTCCGGGTGAAGAAGAGCAGAACCTTCTCCGAGCCCTGAGAGAGATAAGTGTAAATTATCAGGAGACCTTCGTGAGAATGACTTCAACGTGGTAAAGGAGGCTGTGAGCACATTGTGTGGAATAATACGTGTTCACAGTATTGTGTGTCCAGGAAAGCACTGTTTACATTTGTCTCACCTGACAAAAACTTCACAAAATCCACTTTTGAGCTCCATGGGGAGCTCTTCTTCTCTGTCAGCCCCTTAACCATCCACTGAGTAGATCTGCTTTATGTAATGTAGTAGYGGAGGACTTGAACCCAAGGCTGTGTATACACCCCCTGGAAAGATGGCTCTGGATCTGAATTTTGCRGACACCTCTTCAATCTCTGGTCAGGACAATCAAAAACCTGGACCTTGCAGCTTTTAGAAACTTGCATCCAGATCCGGGCACAAACTTTGCGGTTTTGGCCCACCTCTAATTTGAACGCTTCTATAATAAACTTCCAAATAGAGGCTACTCTTTAAAGGAAGGGAAAACAGATATTAAAAGCACAGCCTCTGCATACAGGAAGCCTCTGTGATGACTGAGGTGGTCAATTAAAGGCAGATTCTGCTATTTTTGTTTTAAAGGGGAAAAGGAATTTTGAAAGCTAATTTTATCTCCAGCACACAGTAATTTTGGTTTCTRGTAATGTATACATACAAAACCCACTAGCAATCTTTCTACACATTATTAATTGAACAAAATGAATATGTAGCTTTAGAAAGACTGCATTTTTACTCTTTTACGCACTCTGCACTGTTAGATGCGTCAGGAAAACATGGATCAAAAGAAAAACTCACATCTAGAGGTTAAGAGGTGAAAAACATGAACCTTACATAAGAGGCTGGAAACTGTATTACTTTGCAGAAAGGAATTTAAGAACCACTGGGCTAGAAAAATAATACAGGGTGAGGTGGAGGGGCTGGCTGCGTACCCTCAATGAACAGGATAACTTAGAACCAGTCTTAGTAACATACACTTCCAGGGCTTAGGATTCACCTGCCTTTTCTGTGTCCTGTTGGCTCATCCAGTTCAGAAAATGGGCTGTCCTGGATCAGCAGAGTGTGGGACAAGCCCTCCTCATGCACCATATGCAATGATGAAGCACCTAACCCAGGACTGTACATTACACCCCCCAGGCCAGACACCTTAAAATATAGGCACTAGGTGTGACTTTGAAATGTGAGGATTGCATTTCAAGGTAGTCCTATAGCTGCAGGCCAGTTCAACAATGTGCAGTACTGCTATGTAGCTCAAAAAGAAAATCAACATCATTCATTTTCAGACAGACACGGCTTCACCCCCCTGCTATTGCCTACTGCAAAAAGAAAACAGCGTCAATGATTCATTGTGTTGACTGTCTCTTAAGTCTTCAGAGAAGCCTGAGCAACACTCAKGAAAATGGTTTTGCGAAAAATATGTCAACATATAGAAAGCAATTCACCATTTTGAAACAGTAATTCCTAAACTAAACCAAAGTAAGGACTTGTCAGTACTTGAATATAAACAGTATTTATCAGGGAATGATCTTATTCATACTAATGAATACAACCTCACAAGGTCTTTAGTGGAGAATCTAGTGGCTTTGCTACAGGTTACAAACGATTCTTCAATCTTAACGAAGACTTGCGGCCTTACACTCTAAAGAGCAACAAGATACTGGTGGTGCTCTGATATTTGAGGAYGCCATCTCAGCTGCCCTTCAAGGAGCTTGGTTTCCAGAGGCGCAGTATTTCTGCCTTTCTGAACGTCGGTCTCCTTAGGCATTCCCACCTTGCTCAGCAGAATCGTTCCTGTTGGCGCCGGACGGCCCTGTTCTGAGGCCGGGACCGGCGCAGCCACGCCAGGGTGACACCTGGCTCGCGCTAACTGCCTCTTTGGAGTGGCAGTATTTATTAGGCSGGCCCAGCGCTCCATGACCCGGCTGTTCAGCTCCCTGGCCACAAGCCAGCAGCTCTACACGGCTCTTGTCTGCAGCCAGCTCACCTGCAACATGACCTGACACCCTCGAAAACTYGGGCGTATCGGGTCTATCTGAAAGCTCATGGGTATGGGGCCGATGTCACAGGCCTTTACACTGCCAGACCACAGCCAGACACAAGGGAATTTGCTGGTGTGTTTATTTTTATCACCATGAAATGTAGCTAGTGGTTGAGATTTTGTCTTGTAAACCTCTTCTGCGTCTCTGAATCTCTGCACGTTCGAGAAGGCCCCGTTGCTTGAGCACGTCATTCTAGAAAGGAGCCAACCGCCCTGGCCGTGAGCTCAGTCCCTGTGGGCCGGAGCGAYACCTCCTGCCTGGTACCTGGTGGAGCCCGGAGCCATCAGTGCTAACGCGTTCAACAGAAACTGAGCGGTGAAACAAATCAGCGCACACTGAAAAAGGCTTTGATAATTTACATTTCTGCCTGGAGTTGGTACGTGCTTAAAATCTGCCCTCAAGAGGAGGCTTTGAAATGGYTCAAGTGACTATTTCCAAAGACATATTTATCATACCATTTGCTTTGATGCGTTGGTATTTTTCCTAGCTCATGTCATGAGTCCTGAATCCAGATGCATTTTAAAAATAAATAATTTGTTAATTTAATATACATGAGCATTCACTTTTCCAAGCAAGAATCCTTTTGCAGGAAGATTCTGGTCTGCCTGCAGCTTGCAAAGAACAAACTGGAACCAGGGGACAGAAGGGACATTTGCATCTTCAGCCACGGAGAGCCACACATCAGGAGAGAGTATTTGTATGACATTGGATACATCAAAATGCAGCAAACGAGGGCAGGAGCATGTTTAGGTGATTAGGACAGTCATGAGAGCGTAACAAAGACTCAGTGACAGAAGATAAGTAGCCAACACACATAYGCTAGGCAACATCATGTAACTTGGATGTGAATATGAAATACGGAATAGGACTAAKGGGCAGTGACAGGGCCCTCGCTTTGCTTGCTACCTGCCACTTGCTTACACTGTGCGTGTTGCTGGCACAAGGAAATGCTTATTCTAGCACAGCTCCTTCCTTACAGGATAAGCATTTAAATACTTGGGTATTTATGTACTATGCCTTTATACACAACTATGAAACATAGGTGCCATAACTTCTCTTWGTACCAGCTAAAGATCACACTGAGAGACCGGTACACACTGCCAACACCGTGCACCCTACTGAGCATGGTGTTCTCGTGCTTCTCCACAGAACAGGCAATCTGGAACTGTTCAGGGTCCCCCCGCTTCGCCTTTGGCAGTGCACAATGAAGTTCTCTGCAGAACTTGGGCCTGGCGCAGCCTATGGCACTGATTTTAAAAATCCATTTGGTGATGTTAAATGGGACCTTGCTGGAAGTCTGGTGGTTTAAATATTCTTTTGTGAAACTGGGATGAGGCTTTCGAGAATACTTCACAGCCTAGACACAGTTGCAACATACTTATCTAGTCACAGTGATCCAGCTGTGCGATTCTCTACAGCACAAATGCTAGGCTTCCATATACCCCTGACAAGCTGTATTTCTGTATAGCCACGTCAAGCTCCAGTTTTAAATTTTTATGGGCTAGAAAGGAATCTTACACATTAAAAAAATCCATTCAGAAGCATGAGGGACCTCAAACAAATAACAACAACAACAAAACGCTCTTTGCGTCTTTGCATAAGACTGACAGCAATAATGCTGTGAAGTCTTCAGTTGGCTTCCATTTCAGCTACTATACCMTCACCAGAGATCACAAGTTTGTATCACCCACCCCACAGTCACTGTTTCCTGAAAGAAGCAAGTCCAAACGGAAATCAGATTTTCAGAATTCATCACAAACACCATCTAGAAAAACAAAGCAGAAGCATTTTTGGTGAGTTGCTATCCAACTTCGTTTTTCGTAATCAACCCCTAAAAGTGTAGGCTACAGCTTTATCATCAAACTTTGAATGGAAATAGGACAAGAGATGCTACAATTCCATGTTCTAGCTGGGAATACCCTCTTGGCTGTGACAAATTACACTTTACAGATGCAGCATCCCTCTGAATGGGAGAGCATTAGTCCACACAGCTGAAATTGCATTAAGACAAAGATAGAAGCACACACCGCACCAGGTGCTGATCACAGAGGGGACCTCAGGCTTTTAGATCCACCTACAAAACCAGTTTCTGATGTGGGAACAAGCATTTTAGCTAAAATTAATTTTGAGGAAAGACAGTTTGCTTTCAAGTTCTTCAAAGAGTTCTGCAAATAGCTGTGAGTAAAATATGAATCTTATAAGTGCAATCTGTTGGCAGACAGCTACCAGAACGTGTTTCAAAAGCTGCTCTGAGAAACTTCTCCATCAACATTTCTGAAAAAAATTGTGAGCTACTCTAATAAATGTTTCAGTTTTCTGCAGAAGAGTACGCAAACAATGCACTGTTGCAACATGGATAAGTATAGTTGTGCTTGAACACAAATTCTAATCTTTTAATTCATATCTAAACACTCTTGCCGAATTCTGCCTTCAGCTACATCAGATTGCAAAAGTTTAACACAAATCTTAACTCTTCAGATTTAATCAGTTTAATTAATACCTCAACCAAAATCTAAACCATGGTTTCAAACTTCTCCAAATGTGGTGCTTCCAGACACAGACTCACAGCTACCAGAAGCTCAGGAGTGTATATCACCTTGTGATATACAAGAAAAGAGATTTTAACTGAAAGTAGGATTCAGACCTGGATTAAGATTGGTATTGCTCACTAGGGACAATTTTTTCTTGCATCAATGTAAATCCAGAAGAGTTCCATTTTATTACAATTTAAAACAGTCTCAAGTGATAAGACAAATTCAAAATATTTGATCGCTGCATCTCTGATAGAAAATCTTTTAACACTCATGCTTTATTTCTGTAGTAAACACTTTTCAAGTTCAAACTTGTTTGAAACTAGAGACTTTATAACAGATAAATAATAATTGGCTGGATTAAGTTTATAGCTTTCCTTATCTAGTCAGCTGCCCTGCACAATTAAATAAATATACATTCGGATTATACTCTTTCTTGATGTGGGAAAGTGTTAGCTAATGCCTATGACAGGCTTTTAGCCACAGTGTGACTTATGTAATTACAGTGGTGAATATAATGTCCTGTTACCAAGTTGTTGTCTATGTTTACCAGTGTTTCCCTGCACTATTACCATTTAAAACTTCAAAGAGCCCTCACCGGATTGGGGCCTAATTTAGATACTACAAACAAAAGTGTTGGAAAAGGAAAGCTGAATTTTATGGTCATAAAAGCAGGCAGGACTGTGCTTTTCTTTCGCACACATCTATTGTCTTTCTTGTGTATACAGAATTTTCAGGTACAGCTTTCAAAGAGACTTGCTGGAAAATAAACATTTCCGAGCGCTGAGGAGCCCGAATAGAGATTAAATACCTTTCAATGGGACAGTTTAAAATAAATATTTTCAAAATGTCCCAAAATTTAGATCCTGTGTTATCTTAAAGCCCAGTTCTTACTCAGTGACTGTACTGGAACAGATCAGAGAATCAAGCATCAAGCAGCCAAAAAGCCAACAAACTCCACTAAACTTAAGTGCAGCTTTTAATTTGTATCACCACTGCGAGAGAAACAAGACAAAACCCTGTGCTGTCTGGTGTGGGTGTTTCTATGAATCCAGAAAGGGTTAAAGCCCACTTCCATCCGGGGCAGTGGAAACACTAACCCTGACATCCGCGGGTGCAGCATCGGGCTGTCAGTGCAATCCAGCATCTACAGTAGGTTGCTCTCGCTCTGTTTGAAGCAAACATCTGTTCTCTATCACAGACATCTACAGGGTTCTGCACTACAGCCCTCTGCTTCATACAAAATATGGGCCCGGTATTTATTCAGGTGAAGCTCCCTTTAATGCCTACTGGACTTTTGTTAAAGACAGTACTACAGACAGCAATAATGTCAGAGAACTTTTTAAAAGGATAAACAGCCCTGCTCTGAAGAGCCTGTAAGTCCCATCTTCATCTTTATTAGCACTGAACATGTCCATGAGGTTATCAACGAATTGCTTTTTCTCATCCATTATGCTAACAGTAATACCTTCAGAAAGACTTCAGAGTTTCTTCTTACCATTTGTATTTGTAAAAAAAAAAAAAAAAAAAAAAACAAAGATAATAGCCCAATTTGTTCAGAATCCACTTGAATGTAGTTCTTATTAATCAGGTTCTCTGGGGCTGAGTGATCTGAGCATTTGACATCTGAAACTCCTGTGGCTTTTTGTCTAAGCAAAGAAAACAGTGATAATGGACAACTTCCAGCTGCAAACCTCTTTTGACATTCTGCAGGTTTTATTTTGACTAATGAATACAAGTTTTTCCAAGTTTTAATTCAGTTAGACTCAAACTTCCTTAATGCAATAAAATCCTAAGTGTCTGTCCTGTATGGCATTTTAACTGGCACTAAAAAGCTTCAAGCCCTACACACACACACACACACACACACACACATGTCCACTCTTAACTCTTGAGTTGCCAAGTGCAACAGAAACATTTAAGAAAACATTACATGATGTAGAGAGGCTTAACACTGTGTTCCCCCAAGACTGCTGGTTATTCTTATGTATTACCAACAGAGACTAGACACTGACTGAAAGACGTTTCTATATGATACTATGGCATGAAGAGAAAAGCTCTAGGGCAAGTTAAAACTAATGGGGCATATGCATTTAGACTTGCTATGTTTYAGTGCGTGACAGGCCACTGATGTCCTTTTCAAGTTCTTAGGAGTTTTCCCGCACTCAGAGCTGAGACCCAAATGGCACAATGCTACAGAACATGCAGATGTTGAGTTTTACATTTCTCATAGAATTTAAGTCTATGTTATATGGTGAAACATATCTGCAGATGTGAGAGGGGAAGAAAAAAAAGAAAGTGATTTTCTAATTTCATCTTCTTCTGGCAGCTGCTGTTTTGATCTGATCATTGGCCCCGATTTGTTTCCCATCCCAGCCAGGGTTTAGAGCTGCTCTGTAATTCCAAGCAGATGAGCCCAGGAGTCTAACTAACCCTCTAATTATACCTTCTCTCTTAACCCTCTAACTTCAAACCTTCCATCTTGACTTCTGCATCTCCGATCACGGAGTTTTCCTGAACASCTCTGGCATCCAGGCTCCACTGAACAGGTTGCCACACTGCCTGCATCTCAGCTGCAAACACCCCTCCYGACAGCCTCCCAAAACAAAACACACAGTGAGAAGCCCATGCTCTTTATTATTTATTGAATATCATCTGTGTGCTCAGCACTTGTACAAACACAGAGAAAGACAATCCCTGCTCTGCAGAAAATCAATCCCAGGAATAGCTTTAAAATCCTTACCCACTCACAAATCTCACATTGAACCCATGTGAGTTACTCGTCTCATAACAGTTAAATTCCTCATTTTATGAGAAAGCTTGGGGTCCCGAGAAGTCTTGCTGAAGAAGGCGGGAAATGACAAAGTAGCTCAGAGTGAGGAAACGATGCTGCGATTTAGTAGGTTGATTCAACTCTTGCAGAACAAAAACCTCACACAGACTTTCAAATCTAGCTGCCAAATACCCAAGCATCAGAAGTTTCTCCTAAAGAAGAGAGGAACKTGGGGAAAACTGGTGATCTGTTTAGGTAACTAAGAACAGATTTACAAGCGCAACTCAGCACATCCCAGTTTAATACACTGGCTTTTCTCACTAAAATTTTGCCTTCTGTGCAGTCCCGTAGGAATTCCTGCTAAGCGGAGAGCGGATGAGAGCAGATCCGTGCCTACCGGCATGCGGAGASCTGTGCTCTCCATCAGAAACTGCTGTGAGAGCCGATGCCACCCAGCTGTGCCACCACCTGCGGCTTCGTAGCGCACACGGCTGCGCTGCAAACCTGCGCACAGCGTGCGGGTGGCACGGGTGGCACAGCCGGACACTCGCCGTGCTCCTCGAGGCTTCGGCACGGCCACCTGTGGGCTTGGAAGTGCCTGAGTGTGTCCTGTCCCCGCCACCGACGGCCTGGGGGAAACTTTTCTGCGYGCAGCTTCGCAACTTTACAACCCCACCGCGGCGTGTTTGCCCCCCAAACGCCTCATAGGGAGGCACCGTTATCAAGGGGGCCGCTTTGGCGCCGCGAGAGGCTCCGAGTGACCCAGCAGCCTCTCACCGCCACCGCCACGGGCGGCCGCTCAAACGCGCCGCTCGCACCCCGGCCCCTGTGCCGCGGACCGGCCCCCGTGCCGCGGACCGGCCCCCGTGCCGCGGACCGGCCCCCGTGCCGCGGACCGGCCCCCGTGCCGCGGACCGGCCTCGCCGGGCACTCACCGTGCAGCAGCAGCGCCGGGAAGAGGCAGCGGAGCAGGCTGCCGTAGGGGAAGGGCATGTCCGCGGCGCGCGGAGCCCCGCGCGGAGCCCCGCGCTCCCCCGCGGCTGCCGCCGCCGCCGCTCAGGGCTCTCGGCGCCCCGCAGCCCCGCACACCGCCGCCAGCATGGACCGCGGGCGCCGAGAGCCGCTCAGCGCCGCCGCGGGCACCGCATGGCCGGGCGCGCGGGCCGGCACCGTGCGGGATCGGCTCGGCTCGGCTCCCGCCGCCTCCTCAGCCGCGCTCGCTCGGTGGCCGCCCGCGCTGCGCCTTGCACCGCAACCACGTCGTGCACTGTCTCCTCGGAGCGCGGCGGCGGCTCCGCTTCATATTTCCCCTTCCCCGCAGGAGGAGGAGGAGGAGGAGGAGGGGTCAGGGAGGTGGGCGCTCCCGCGCCGGCCCCGAGCGCCGCCTCCGAGCCCGCCGCGCTGCCCGGGCCGCCCCGCGGCGCGGGTTGGGGTCCCCGCGCCCCCCGGGGGGGACGGTGGATCCCCCCGCAGGGGCAGCGGCCTCCCCGCCCGCAGCGCAGCAAGGCGCGCAGGGGGCCGCGCCGCGGGTTGACCTGTTGCCGCGGGCAGGTCGGCCGGGAAGGGCGCGGGAAGAGCGGGGCAGCGTGCGGGGAGAGCCGGCTCTCCCTCAGCCGGCGGGACATACAGCAGAGCTCTGGTGTGTCCGGTGGACACACGCAGGGCGAATGAGGGGTGTCAGGGCTCGCGYTGGCGCGCGTGGATGCTGTTTTCCAGCTGGTCCGGGAGGCGCACCGGCCATCGCGCCCGTACATCCATGAGGAGGAAAGGCGGTGTGTGCTGCTGCCGGGAAAGCAACCACCTTCCGCAAGGGCACGGTCACAGTTCTCCGCATAAACTGGCCATTTCAGAAAGTATAAATAGACGTGTAGGTTGCCTTCTTTGGTGTTGCACTCTCCTGTGCGCATTTTCCCATGTCTGCTGTTGATTAGTTTTGCTTTTTAGTCTAGTTTTAGGCCCTGGTCATACAAATGCATGCTCCCAGTGCCGCCCAAGCGAATGACTCACGTGCCTGAGGTTAAGCACAGGGATTTCATTTGTAACAGCCTCTGGTCGGGGCCATCGTACTTAGTCTTTGTTGGGACTCTTGGGCTTGGCCGTAGGGTTTCATGGCAAGGAATGTTTAGCAAATTGGAGAAAGTTTTGAGAAAACCAGCATAACTGAGTTTTGAGCAGATTAGCTCAGCTAAAATGTTTACATAGTGCATGTTTAAAGAGGAATACAAACAATCCTTCCAATTCCCTTGAGTAGGAAGAATAAATTTAATCTTCCTCATTTATACAGAGAGGAAACTGAGACGGAAACAAGTAAATAGTGAGTCAAAATTAGAACKCCGCTGCTTTGGATTCTCAGGATGATGCTTTTCCCTTCACACAAATGTTCTTGAGTCAGAAAACATGGTATCCAGGGCACTTGGTGGCAGTCTGTATAAGCATGTAGTGGGCAAATATCCTCTGAATGACCTGGAAAGAACTATACAGAGTAAAGTGGCATCCTTTAGGAAACAGGTGTGCATGATTATTGCATAAAAGGCTCTGAAAATATCCTTATCCAGTGCTGTTTTGTCAARTTCAACCCATTCCTTGCTCCAGAGGTGTTTGACAGCTGTGCAAGAGAAGGGAGGTGATTCCTGTCATAGATCCTGTACACTTGAAAAATATTTTGGGAAGCATCATGTTACTCATGTTGCTATTTTTAAGGGGTACTAAAATCCAATCCAGGATGAAAATCTAATTTTATCATTCTTAATAATCCCACAGAGAAACCAAACAGTAGTTATTTACTTGTGGATTCCATAAGGTGAAATGGGCAAATGGGCAATGAAAAGAACCATATTCACTTAAATACGGTTCWGGCATCTCCATGTATGAATCTTGGGAACTGCTGCAGGTAATATATATGGGACAGCTGCCTTTCCAAAGACGTATTTCTGCAAGGGAGATCAGTGAGATAATGCCGTGTGTGCAAAGGGATGGTTGTAGGATAAGTGTATGTTGTAGGATAAGAAAAGCAGCATCTGTGTGAAAGTGAACTTCCTAATTGTTGGTCATGAGCACAAGGTTGTTACTAAAGGGTCGTTCGTGCTGGCAAGAAAGGTCTCACTTGTTTGGCACATGTACAGATACAGTGTGTAGGAAGGTGCTGTCATTGCCCGTCACCTGTTACTGTGTTATGTGCCCCCCACATGCATTCCTGTTGTTGTCCCTTCTGAGTGTTCAGCCTACTCCCTCATCCTTAAGAAGCAACAAGAAGGGATTAAGAGGAATATGAATCTAAAATGCAAGAGGTAGACCAATATCACTGCCAACAATGATGAAAGACTAGCAATTTGGATGTTTAATTATATAACAATAGCAACATCCCAAAGGAGACATTTTTTTTTTTTTTTTTTTTTTTGTGTAGACACAACCTGCTATGCAACATAATTATCTACAAAAAGATCAGGCTGAGAATGGCCTGAAAAAAAGTCAGTTATCCCAGAAATGCTCATTTACTCCCTGGAAACAACAACCCCTTAGCAGCATCACTATTAGCTTTTCATAAGAGGAAATAGRACTGACTTTACTGCTTCATTGGCCAGCTTTGTAAATTAGGCCCTGCTTGTGATTTACTATCAGTGCAGCTTCAGATGTGGTAATGAAATAAAATGAAATCAATACCCAATGGGCTCAGCCACTTTCCAAACTTTCCAAAAACAGCACAGACTATACTCWGTGTTTTACTCTTCTTTTTTTTTCTCTCTTTTTTTACTTTGTGTTATTTTAAGGATATGGGATTTTTTGAGACTGATGCACAGTATTTTTTAAAAAATATACCCAGCTCAGTCCCACTTGTTTCATTACTTTACCCCTTTTCAGAGTGTACTGGTGCTAGTAGTAGGGGGAAGTAGTGACAAATAACAGCTCCCTGTGCTTTGATCTAAGCAGCATGTCACATCAGTGCTCGTTAAAAATTGTATTAACCAAGCCAACCTTGGCTTTCTGAACTTGGGCTCCTGGGGCAGGGTATGTACTAACATATGTACAATGTAAATTGCAGTAGAAAGGCAGCTCTTGGCCATATTCACAAAAACATCATGAGGTCAAAAGCATCTAAAAAGTGAAGCTTGCAGGTCAGTAGAAGTTTCCACATAAAGTAAYCCTTTTGAATAATACCCTGATGGGAAATGTACTTTGTGGCTGGCCCTCTGCAGAAGTATGAGAATAGGAAGAAAACTGACTTGTTGGACTTGTTGCATGGCACTTCAAAGATCTAAGCATATCAGCATAGCACTTGTCTAGCTAAAGTGCAGGCTGGTTGGCTGGCAGCCAATGCCAATCTTGTGGTGAAAGATATTTAAAATAGAGACTTGATGGGAAAGACTGATGGCCGTGAGCATATGGGGCACTTTATGCTATGGAGAAGAATGAGTTGGTGTAACGGTCTTGAACTCAGTTATGCTTTGGCATTGCCTTGGCATTGCCACAACTACAATTTGCTAATGGCTAAATTATGTGTTTAAAAAGACAATATGTTCTTTTGAATAAGTTCAAGGAGCGGGACATAAGGAGTTATTAGAAAACAGTGAAGCAAATAATTTGCAAAGAATTAAAAGTCTGTCAGATTTCTGTCTGTGAATTGTCCATGACAAATTTATCAAAATAAATGAAATTTTAGAGGGAAGTTTTCCTACATGGCCAGCTTAGGTTAGAGTATGCAGCACCAGTCTATCTGATACAGAGATGCTGTATGACTTCTTATTTTGGCTTCAGCTGTTTGAGGTAGAAGTTAAGCTGTTTTACAATGTAAAAYGAATGGCAGTCAGCTTGTTTCTCTGTTCAAGCTGGATTGAGAAATCTATAGTTTATGGARTATAGCAGGTTTTATCAGTTACTGCATCAGTCATTTTTATATATTTAGAATAAGATGTTAAAGATGGTGTGTTTTTTTTTCTTATCCTTTGTTAACTGAAAAAGYAACTGAAAGTGCCCTTGGCAGCATTCTCTAGATGTTAGGCTCACAAACTTCTGCAAAATATTTTATGTTCCCTCACTGGAACTTGATCTTCAATGTAGCCACTGGAGCCAATGAAGTTTTATGATCATTTTAATGGATATCGTATCTGGTTGTACTTTTATCAGATGTACCTGCGGYTGTGCTCACCTGCACACTGTGGCTCTGAGAAGGCAATTTGTCTGTGAGATGGTCTAGGGGATCTCAAATGGTTTATCCTTCCTTTCTCTTCCTTGTTTAAGTAGATAACTATTCTGAAAAAAATCTATTCTGCATATGATTTTAGTCTTGTAAGACACAATGCGTGTTGAAACCCTGCTACGTAGTAACAGGCACAGAAAATAGAGACTGAAAATAATAAAAATGACAGTCTCTTAATCTCTCTTTTATTTATTTATTTATTTATTTATTTATTTATTTATTTATTTATTTATTTATTTTTTCACATGTGCACAGCCACATGCAGATATAGACACACATTGGAGACTATCTGCTGGAATAGACTTGCTTAAGAGATCACTGGTTTCACACAAATTTAGGTGATCTGAAACAGTTTTTGAGTTTGCACAGAACAGGTTGGAAAGTAGATGAGAATAAGGATATAAAATGTCATGAAGAGTAGACCCTGCAAAGCTCAGGCAACCCAACAAAGAAATGAAAGAAATACGTAAAGAACTCAAAAAAAMCAAATGACTTTCCATAAAATAATCTCTCTTCTTAACATCTTCACTTGTTTCTGGCTTTTAAGATGTGCTTGTGCTTTGATCGCTCTGAGCCAAAGTGAAACTTCTCTGTTTAGAATTACTTTACTATAAGCAAGGACAATTTCATGGTACTGTTACTGCAGCCGGAGTTTTAGGGTCTAGTTCAACTCCCAGTGGGGGTTTTTCCATTGACTATAATAAGAGCTGGATCAGGAACTTAATGAGTTGTTGGAAATGTCAACTAGAACAATTGATACTTGTTGTATGTGATGCATTAATCTGGAAGCAAGGAAAACAGAG